GCCCAGGTCAGAAATGGAATAGGTCCAAACTCCCATGCTGATCAAGGAAAAAAGGCAGGATTTTCTTATTTTTGAAGGTTGCCCTATGAATCAGCACTTAAAATTAGGGCTGATGAAAGAGTCGGGTGGAAGACTTTTCCATTCTGGAGCAGCCCTGTTCCTTTACTGTCACATACCACAGACATACCTCAGAGAGAAGAGTCCACAGCTCCTGTTGCCAAGCAGTCCTGGTCAGTGCACTCTGTGTCTCATCACATCTCAGTTAGGGTTTCTATTACTTAGAAGAGACACCATGATAAACAAAACTCTTATAAAGGAAGCATTTAATCGGGCTAGCTTTCGGTTCACAGGTTTTGGCCGTTGTCGTCAATGATGGGAAGCATGGTGACACACAGGCAGGCATGGTGCTAGAGAAGAAGCCAAGAGCTCTACTTCTGGATCAGTGGGCAGCAGGAAGAGAGAGTGACACTGGGCCTGACTTGAGCATTGAAACTTCAAAGCCACCCGCAGTGACATACTTCCTCCCACAAGGCCACGCTTACTCCAACAAGGCCACACCTCCTAATAGTGCCACTCCTTTTGAGGCTATGGGGGCCATTTTCAATCAAACCACCACCCATAAACACACAGCTGAGCAGTAAAGCCACAGATTTCTACAGTCTCCCGGTGTCAGGTCAGGTCACAGTTAAGTGACAAGCAAAATGGACCATATTGACTCCCCAGTACTCTTTCAGAGAAAATAACGTATCAAAGTCCCACTTTGTTTGTAAAGTTTTTTATTGATTTCACATTTCAGTATCCTCATTGTAAAACACAAGAGCACAGAGAAGAGAATAGGTTTGACTTCTGTTCTATTCCCAAAGCCAACCACTGTTAACATTTTGGTCATAAATACCACCACTATTCTCATGCAAATATGCACAGTCAAAATACATACATGCATATATCCATAGTCATATGTACATACATACATATACATGAGCCATGCCACACATCACACAAAGTGTGAAGCTTCATGAGACTATTTTTCAGTCTTTTACTAGCGTTTCCTCTTCCTCTTTCAGAAATGCCACTTCCATGCCTTCCCAGGTCTAGTGTCTTCCATCATTCATATCTGTTTATAGCTAGGTATTTTGGATGAGATGGTGTTTATAGTCACTCTAAAGTAATATCCTAGATACTCGCACACTCCACACTACATTTCTGTGTAGTCTAGATCAATGCCTGATATTTGTATTTGCTATCAGCCTGCCTCCCTTCCTGCTTGAATATAAACTCCAATGGACGAAGGTCTTGGCTGCCTCAATCATTATTTATGCCTGGCAGGAAAAAAGGTGGCAATGATTGCTGCACACTGCTATTTATGTTCTTCAACATGCCATGTGCCAGTGTCCAGGAAAGCATATGATGCAGATGAAGGGCAAAACACACAGATGTTAAACAAATGACTCCTCTCTCAAGATACTGATTCAAAAAGTAGCATGACATGGTCAAAAATCCAACAATGTTTTTTATGATATCCTCATGCCAGAGAACATGGTCAACTTTCAACTGGAGTGCCGAGCAATACAATAGGGGAACACAAACACGCAGAACACTACACATTCTCCTGTAACCATTTAGCACCTTATCTGGTCCCTCATTTAGTTTAAAACAGTGACAAGTTCCGAGATCCCTGCTTTGAAATGTCTGATGAAGATGCCTCCTAGCTTTCTAGTAAACTTCCTTCCCCAAGGTCCTATAATTCCTGAACTTAGCCCAAGGGTTTGCGTCTTTATTTCCAGGCCCCTGGGACTGCTCTCAGGATACACTGTGTTCTAGCTTCTTGTCATGTAGAGTGGCCAGTCATTATATGCACTGTTCTACTAGCTGCATGTTTTAATACACACACACACACACACACACACACACACACACACACGTACATTATTATCAACTAACAGTGTCTTATAAATCTAAGCAAGGGCTTTGTTTCTTTCTTACATGGTACATAAATAGTCCATCTTAAAAATTAATGGCATCTCAGACACAATTAAAAGTTGTAACAATACTGAGTTGTGGTGGCATTCAAAATTCCTGGCAACATAGATGCTGATTAAATTAAACAATGTCCAGCCAAAGCATGGGAAAGTGGGCAGAGGAGACACTGTGATGTCATTACAACTGCTCTATGCACCTGAATCTAGACATAAAGCACTCAGAGAGGCTGTTCCTCCTCTTCTCCTTCCTTCTACAAAACAGCACAGCCACACAAGTCCAAGCTCAGGACCCATGCTACCTCCATGACCTTGATGACATTCTGAATCTGACTGTGGCTGTGTACCAGCTGCTCCACTGAGTTGTACTTAACATTAGGTGGACTAAACCATGTGAAGTAGTAAGTGGCTGGCAAAAGAGGTTGTTTATACTTAATTTTCATTCTCTATTTTCTTTCTTGCGTGCATTATGTTCTGCCCTCCCCACTCCATATCCCCGCTCCTTGGAAACAGAAGCTATATAGGAAGGAACTGAGTTTTCTGCCCCACTTAGCAAGAAAGCAGAGCTTCAGAATCAGAGGAATTGCATGTGCCCTGATGAAGATGGCTGTAGTGTCTTCTGTCCTCAGCAACACAGATGTCTAGAGCCACATAATTCCTTATTACCAGGGGCTGTCTTGACACCACTAGATTTTTAACCACATCCTTGGCCTCTGCTGACCAGACATCAATAGCTGACCGAGCATGTTGTGAGACTCAAGGATGTCTCGGGATGTAATCAAATGTCTGTACTCTTCCCTCCATAGACAAGCGCTGTTCTAGTGTTCACCAGGTACTCATCTTATTCCTATTTCATGTCTTCACAGTGGAAATAATACAGAAAGCAGCTCTGAGGATGGGGCTCTACACAAGGAGTTTAGTTTCTGCCATTTCTTCTAAGGCTGCTAAAAGCAAATGAAGACTTTGCTTCTCACTCTACAGCTACAAGCGTGGGTTTAATGTGTACTTTTCAGGGATAGTTAATGCTCCCATAAAGCTGAAATGTGGCATGTCTGAAAAAGAATGGCCACACTGCAGACAGCTGGGAACAAATTGTCACAAACAGAGAACACAGGTTTCCAAGCAGATTTCAACACAAACCCCTCCCTAAGACCAGGCTCTGAGGCCCATCAATGTGTCCCTAAATGTGTCACTCCAGGGTCACAAATTGAGGGTTCTGAAGAACAATTAGAGAGTCACCGTCCGTGCCACATGTTTCTTTAGCTGCATATATATTTTAATGTACAGTAAGATGTGGACAGGTTGGATAAGAGCTAAATGATAGCCATCATCAGGTCTTTTTTTTTTTCTGTAACCCAGAGTCCAGTTAGTGTTGACTATGTAGACATGGGTGTGTGGCCATCTGCTGGAGTATGGACAACCTGTCATCAGCTGAATCCCTGAAAAACAATGATACCCCTTCTGTTAGTATTCAGGCATCTGCACTGGCCTGCCTTTGGGTTCTGACAGGATAGGTCCTCAGCATTCCCTTTTTAAAAGGCCCTGCCCACCTCCCATCTCTCTCTCTCTCTCTCTCTCTCTCTCTCTCTCTCTCTCTCTCTCTCTCTGTGTGTGTGTGTGTGTGTGTGTGTGTGTGTGTGTGTGTGTGCTTTTATGCCTATCTCTCTGTCTCCCCCCATCTCTCTTTTTTCTTCTGCTGCTCCTATCCCCAGAGATTGGTCTTCCCAACCACCTTTTTCTCTTTCCCCTAATTAAAAAAAACAAAAACAAAAACAAAACAACAACAACAAAAAAAGACAAAAAACAAAAAAATACTCCACGTTAGCTCTGTTGAATGGCATCTTTCGTCTTTCTTCTGCACCACTTAAAAAAAAAAAGCTACAACACCCTTCCCTAGCAACCATCAATTACCAGTAGATCCTCATTTAGGGGTAGGGTGTTGTAAGTCCCTCCCCAATCTGTGCTAGAATGTCAGTTGGCTTGATATTGCCAAGATTTTGTGCAGTCAACCAGAGCCACTATGAATTCATGAGTACAACAGCTCTGTATAGCCAAAAGACACTATTTTGCAGCAATCCTTCCTAACCCCTGGTTCTTATATTCTTTCCACCCCCTCTTCTTTGATGTCCCTATGCCGTGGGGCTATTTCTTCACACAGCACATCTGAAAGGACATGGTGTTGCTGCGGATGGCACCCAAGGTTGCTCTCTGACCTCCATGTGTGTACATGCATGTCCATGCACACATATGCACACACACATACTTGCATGTGTACACACATACGTATGTGAATACCTACACATGTGTAAGCACACACATATACATGGACACACATGCATGCACATACATGTATAAAAAGAGCATTGCACTGACTAAATGTAGAGCCACATGTCTATATCCCCAGCGCTTGAGAAATGGAGGCAGGATTCAAGGCTTGGTTACATCAAGTTCAAGGCCAGCTTGAACAACCTAAGACCCTGCCTCTAAATAAATAAGTAAATAAATAAATAAAACCTGAATGCACCCAAGCCTCTCTGTAGCTCCTGAAAGTACTGATGTGGCAATTCTCTGGAAGCTCCCTGAACATATTACTTGTGGTGCAGGTTTCCATTACTACCTGAAAACACCAGGCCATCGCCACACTGAGATGAACTCATCCTTGAGTTTGCACGTGTACAATATAGATAACCCATCTTAAATAACATTTTTATAAAAATACAGTGTTTGGTTTTTCTGGATAAACTACAAAACTTCAATACACTTCTATACTCTAGAATAATTTGGAAGTGAGTATTTTCATCTTCCTGTGACTATGGTGCCCTCAGAACAACTTCTGACTTCATATGTAATCATACTGGACACATTCACTAAGCGCCCAGCTGTCACACATGAAGCTCAGTGCCCAAATGCATTGTCTCATTTAATTCTCATTTAAGTATAAATGTCCCAAGCTGACATTCTCTATAAAAAAATGATTAATTATATATTGGTTTCTAACTCTTAAAATGTGCTTTTGCCCGGATGTTACTTTCTTCAAATCATTTATTTATAATACAATATAGAAACAAGGAGTAGGTAATTTGATGAACATTGATTACTTTAGAAGAGACTTCCATAATATCCTCAGTGACCATCTATTTTCCAGTTGACATTTGTAACCTCTGGCCTTTATAAGATGGCAATCAATCACCATGCATGCCTTTCACATTGAAACTTTCTTGGTAAAAGAGAAAAAAAGTTTGGGATGGAAATCTGTCCTTTTTACTGTTCTTCCAATTTTTTTTAATTGAAGCATCTGATAATCTACCAATATCAGGTCATAATGAAGTTATCCCAGACCACACTTACAACAAGGGAGGTTTGAAATATAGAGAGACCGGTTCACTATGTGGTATATTGGGGGATAAGGCTTCCCCCCTTAAATGAAAGTGTCATTCCTAATTGAACCCCTATTGTGGGAATAAATTTTCCATTAAAATGCATTTCTCTAGCAAGAGAAATAATATATTGACTCCATTATCAGATTCTTTACACGGGTTCTCATTTATAAAATCTAAACTAAACGTATTTTTCAATGAATGGTGAAGTTTATGTTCAATGTGGCTTTATTCTGTCACTTTGTCAATAATATACAGCTGTGAAAATCTGTGAGCTATTATTGTTTTACACCAATGGCACCTTATTGTCAAACAAAAGTGAACTTTGAAGTAGTTTAGAAGTTGGTTTAAGAGAGAGCAAGGTTATATCTTCTCATTCCCCAATTTCAGAGCAGGTCACAGGTCAGGTCCTATGACTGGGGAAATGATGGTTCTGTGGAAAAGTGAAGACAACAGTGAGAACAGCTCACAGTTTCCTGTGCCCAATATTCCTCCAGCTGGCATCTCTCATTGGCATACGAACAAAGCTGGGCCTCTGGACACGGCATAAGACAGATGCATGGAGAGTGTGACGATCAAACTTGCATGCAAAGAGATGCATGGAATTAAATGCAACACAGCATTGTGTCCTTACATTTTTCTGTGGGGAGTATCATCAGATTCCATTGCCATTTTAGAAACATGAGACTCCAGTGTGAAGAAAGCGGTGTGGTTAGGGAACAGTGTCCTAGGCCACTGGCAATACCCAACCAACTCAGTTCAGCAGCATTGGACAAGCTGGGCATGGAACCCTCTCTCATCTGTCACACTAAGTGGGAGGTGCCTTGTCTATGGCTAAAGAATAACTCTGTGTGAACCATCAGTGTGCTTCAAACATCCATTCCCTTCCCCCGCCAAAAAATCAAAGCGGTTGGAACGGTGACAAGAACCTATCTAGAAGTGTCGCTAAAGACCTTCACATTTATGGGTGTCAAAAGACTGGGACTCGTTGTAAAAAAATACAAATAGTGAAATGCTGCAGTGATCTCCCCAGTGAACTGCCTGCCATGGTGAGGTCATCGGATGAAGTCAGGTAGCAGGTGGATGAGATGCTGATGAACTCCATGTCTCCACAGTCAGGAGATGCCCCTTTCCCTTCTGCTTAATCCCAAGGAATAAGTCTCATTTTAAGGTGTACATCCCTAACATCTCTCAGATTCAAAGACACTGGAAATAAGTCTCATTTTAAGGTGTACATCCCTAACATCTCTCAGATTCAAAGGTGTTCAGTCATAAGACACTGGGATTTCATTTTTGACATATAATATGATAACTTGCACTAATCCAGAATTCACCACTTGTGTTTTTGTATGTAAATGCCTGGATTAATGTACCATTATACAGATTTAGATATAGAATATTTCTGTCACCCAGTATTCTTGTGCCTTTCCTAACTAAGAGCCACTTCTGGTTCTTACTACTATCCTGACTTCTATTTTCGTCGATGAGTTTTTCTCATTCTTGACTTTTATATTAAAGAGAAAGGTGCATACCCTTGTTCCTTCCATTGACTATGTCTTTGAGAGGCATCTAGTTGAGTGTTATAATAAGTAATCTGTTCCTTTTATTGCTTCATTGTATGGATATACCACAACTTATTTATCTATTGTACTCTTATCTGCATACTGAATTGTTTCTAATTTGAGGCTATGATGAATAAGACTTCTAGAAACATTTTTTGGTTTCCACTGGAATTTAATAACCATGTTTTGATTTTATGATTTTCTGTAACCAGATCTGCCTGCCTTTGCCTCCTTCTTAACTGCTAGGATTAAAGGCATGTGCCACCACTGCCCAGTAATACTTTTTGTTTGTTTGTTTGTTGTTTTATTCTTTAACAGCAATGAAGGAAAATGTCGACTTTATGTCATAAACAGACACAACAGTGTCACTATTAAATTCAGTTTATTTGAAAACAATAAAATTTTTAGAGAAATCTTAAATTAATAATTGAACAGTAGGGAATATATTTGTCTGAGTTCATGAAACCAACAGCCAAAACACCATGAAAATGTTTTTGAGATTATTTGGGGATTCTCAAACAGTCAACAAGCAAGTCAAACATTGAGAAAGTAAACACTGTAGGAACTTAAGGAAGAGGTAGATTCCCAAGGGCCAAGGTGGATATAGGGCTTTGAATCTCACTCAGCAGTGTTACTAGCCTGAGGGAGAATATAGCTTTATTCACATTGAGATGCCCATCTTCTGGAAAAAGAGCCTGGCCTCGAATAAGTTTGCAGTACACTTTTCACAAATTTGGGCTCGATTACTAGAGGGACATCAAAGGCCAGCTAAGGAGAAAACAGAGCATGCCACAGGCGGGGAAACAAGAGAAAAAATCAGACCGAGGAACACAGCAGATCCTCAGACTAGCAAACAGAGCAGGCTGAATGGAGATGGTCCTTATGTGGTGCAGGAGAGGGAAGAGGGGAGGAGGGTCTGCCCAGCAAGAAGTAGAACCACAGACCCCACTCGTGGGCTGTATGCAGACAGATGATCATGTACTCACTTGAATGTCTCCCTCGCTATGGGAACTTCAGAAACACGAGGCAGATTATCAGCAGAAAGCCATTCAAAAGACAACTCCCAGATTTCCATGGTGAGTGGGTCCTAGGCAGCTCATCACAGTCTTCTCTCTACAGCAGTCTCCAGTGTTGATTGCAGTCTGCCTAAGGACAAGCATCAATCTGACAACAAAGCACACACCAAGCCCCGAGAGCCCCAGATGTCCATATTCCAGGAATTCTGCTTCCAGAATTGAGTCTTTGGCTTCTCATTGTCATAGCTGAATGTGTCACATGCATCCAGTATTTCATCCAAATGGGAAAGTTTGCTTGGAAGAGCCCTCCATTACACAGCTGACACTGGTTTTGAAGGGGCTAATTATGTTTAAAGCTAGTCTGAGGCGCAGAGGCTTTGGGCCGTGAAATATCTTTCCATCAAAAAAAATGTGTTTTGTAAAAGCACAGAAGCTGAAAAAAATCTGTGACTCTCATTAGGAGTGTGTTTCATGATGCAGAGATCTAAAACTCCTGACCATAATTATTCTGATGGGTCGTAAGACTCAGAATCTGCTTTCCATCTCTGTGAAGCATAAACTTGAAATTATAAGGGATAAGTATAGGTAGTAAACTTTGTAAACTGACTAAAAACCTCTCCTGAGCATACCAGTGTTCTTAGACTCAGGGAGTGCCCAAGGCAACGCTCGGGCTTTCGAAAACTCTGAGCATTGGCATCACAACCCAAGGCAGAATGGGTACTGGTGGCAGGCAATGCACTCAGAACTTAGATCTGGAAATACAGCCTCCTTCCATTCTGGAGTACGGGATTTTGAGTAAAACATATCACTTCTTCATCACCTTACACAGACAAGAAAAGAGGTATAAGCTGTGGCCCTATCCAACTCTAACATGTCACAAGAATGCTACCTTCTATTGTAGTGAAGATCTAGATCCCATGTAGGTAGCCCCTTTACCGCTTCTAAGTAATGCTCAGACAGCACATGAAAGGGTTTCTCTGAGGTGACTCCATTTAAACCCACAGTGTTGAGTAGATGGCTCTCCCCAGGACGAGTGGGCAGCAACCACTGGTGACATAGATGAACAAAAGGGCAGAGGAAGAGTGAACTCGCTGTCTCTGCTGGAACTGGAACAGGACTTTCCCTTTTTTTGTGCATAAGTGCTCTGGTTCTCAAGTCTTTGCATTCAGACCAAGGCTTTCATGCTCAGCTTCCTGGTCCTTGGATCTTCAAACTTAAGTTGAATGACACCAATGCATTTCCTGCATTGTGTGAGCCAATTTCTATGATCAATATAATATGTATCAGATCTTATTGCATGCATTTTCACACACACACACACACACACACACAATTTCTCCAAAGAATCCAGACTAGTTCAGCAATGCTAATCATCACTCCATAGTTCACACAGAATGGCAATGCTTCCAATCCACCATTACTGCAATGTGCACTCTAGGCTTATTCTCACACAGTGCAACGAGATAGTTGTCACTATTTGCTTGTGGCCATCACACAATCATGGAGTTAAAAATGACCCTGTAATAAAAATAAGTTTGCAGAAACATTCCCATGAATCCTTTAACTCCATTTTCCTCTTACTTCCTTGGCCAGAAGACTCTAGTCAATCTCAACATAGCCTTTGTCCCACCTTTAACAACCAAAGCCATGACAAGTGTATCATTCTCCTCTACTCCATGGATACAGTATACTTTGCAAGTTTGATGCTTGTGACAATCCAGCTTCTACTGGGTCCATCGGCACCACTGTCTCTAACCGCAGTGCTACTTAGATCTCTACACTGAATTTCAGTAAGCTTATAGTATTTTTAAGCTTTTTCATTGTTCTTACCTCTTGTGGTGTCCTGTGGTCAGTAATCTTTTAAATGTAAATTTTTCATTGTTCTTACCTCTTGTGGTGTCCTGTGGTCAGTAATCTTTTACATTATTAGTGATCATTTGGGGCTGCCAGAAACCATGCTCATGTGTGCGCATGTGTGAAACTGATAAATTTCTTTGCTCCACTGGCTGGCCATTCCCCTTGTCTCTACCTCTAGAGAGGCCACCATATTCCTTTGGATATCATAATTTTAAATTGGGCCAATGAATAACCTACAATGGGCCTTAAGTGTTCAAGTAAAAGGAAGAGTAATGTCTCTCACTTTAAATAAACAGCTAGAAATGGCTACAAATAGTGATGAAAGTAGGTGAAAAAAACAAGGTAGGCCAAAAATGCTCAGCCTCTTGCACCAAATGGCTGGCCATGTCATGAAAAGACAGGAAAAGTTCTTGGAGAAAATGGGATGCTTCCCCAGTGAACACACAAGCTGGAGACTTATTGCTCCTATAATCTCGACAGAGGATTAAATCAGTCACAACATTCAGCTAAGCCAAAGCCTTATCCAGAGCAAAGCACCAACCCTTTCCAGTTAATTGTATGAAGGCTGAGCAAAGCAAAGGCACTACAGAAGAAAAGTTTGGACCTAACAGAGGTTGGCTCAGGAGTTTTAAAGAGACATGCCACCTGAACAACAAAGCACAAGAAGCAGCAGGCAGGATACTGAAGCTGCAGCAAGTTACCCAGATGGTCTCACCATGATCATGGATGATGGTGCATCTACTGAGTGACAGACAGACAGACACTCAGTATAGAAAATCAGCTTGCTATTGAAAAGTAATGCAACCAAAGACTGGGTGCTGCTTAATTTCAACTATCAACTTAGCTCAACTTAGGATCAGGTTGGCTTGTGGGAGACTATCTTAATCATTACTTAATATTGGAAGACCCAGCTCATTCTAAGTGGCACCATTCCCTACACAGAGGTTCCTGAGCAGCATAAGAGAGGATCAAGCTAATTGGAAATGAGCAAGCAGGCAAGTAGAGATGCATGCCTTTGTTTCTTTCTACTCTTGACCATGGATGTGATGTCACCTGCTTCCAGTTCCTGAGCAACCATAACCTGAGATTATAAGCCAAATAAACTCCTTTCTCCCCTAATGTGATTGTTGTTGGAATATTTTATCACCACAGCAACAGAAATGAAACTAAGACAGGCTGTCAAGACTAGGGAGGAAATGCCAATGCCTGGTTTCAAACATTCAGTAAGCAGGCTAACTCCGCACCAGGGACTAATGTTGGTGAGTTTAAGTTAATGCCCAGGCTTAGGTAGCATTCTGAAAAGTCATGGGCCATTAAGAATCAGAATCACTCAACCCATGCTCTGTAAATGGAGCAACAAATCCTGATGACAGCACATCCATTTGCAATACAGTTTGTTGAATATTTTTAGCCCAGTGTGGAGAACCACAGCTCAGCATTAAAAGATTCCCATTTGTTGGCAAGCCCCTCATCATCAAAGATCTCTGATGGGCATTTACAAGATTAGTGTTATTTTTATGCTTGCCAAAATAGCATCCATTCTGAAGCTAATAGATCAAGGAGCAGTGTGGACTTCCAAGTATCACTGTTTTGAAGAAACACATTTCTAAGACTGTAGCTGCCATAGAAAAGTGATTTTTTTTCTGATGGATCCAGACAAAGTAAATTAAAAACCTTCTCCAAAGGACATTCTATTATAGATGCCATTAAGAAAATCATGATTAATGGAGATTGGGACAAGTTGATTTTAAGCCTCACTGATGACTCTGCAGGGCTCAGATCTCAGTGGAGGAAGTGAATTCAAATGCAGAGGAGCTACCAAAAGAAGCAGAATTAGAAGTGGAGCCAAGGAGAGTGGGGGAGAGGCACAAGGGGTCAGAGTCAGGAGACAAACAAAGTATAATAGCATGTGTGTATGGAAATGCAGTAACAAAATTCATTGCTAGAACTGGAAAGGTGGTTCAATGGTTAAGAGCACTTATTGCTCCATCGGAAGATGGGAGCTTGGATCCCAGCACCAACATTGATGATTCATAAATGCCTATAACTCCAACTCCAAGGGATCCAGCATTTACTTTTGAACACACACACACACACACACACACACGGATACATAAGCACAGACACGAATACATAAAATATTTTTAAAAGACATATTGCTTGGTATGCTTATTTAAAAGTTGTTTTAAAAACAGCATGACGAGCTGGGCAGCACTTGGGAGGCAGAGGCAGGTGGATCTCTGTGAGTTCCAGGCCAGCCTGGTCTACAGGGTGAGTGCTATGGTAGGCTACAAAGCTACACAGAGAAACCCTGTCTTGAAAAACCAAATAATAATAATAACAATAATAATAATAATAATAGTATGAGAGATAGGGAATTATTCTTCCCCAGAGTTGGGACCTCTAATCAGTTATTCAAAACCAACTTGTCAACCCTGAAATCATTTTTACAAAAACAATATTCAATGGATTTAGCATGTTGTATTTGTGTGTCGGGGGAGGGGGGTATGTGTATAGAAGTAACAATTAAGAAAAAAGAGTCCATGTATATGAGAGGGGGTATCAGACACTGGAAAGGAAATGGAAAAAGCCCATGGGACCTCAACCCTGCACAAAGAACCACAGGCAACTAAGGAATGCTGACAGTGGAAGAAATAGTCTTCCTCGGGGAAAAGCACATCAATTGGTTATCCAATACCAAATAGTCATCTCTGAAAACAAACATACAGGTAACATACAGACTGAGCGAGTTATATTTAGGAATACAATAATATATATATATATATATATATATATGATAGATATAGATAGATAGATAGATAGATAGATAGATAGATAGATAGATAGATGCATATATACAATAACAATTAGTGGAAAAGAGGCTATGAATTTGAAAAGGAGTCAGGAAGAGTATATGGGAGGGTTGGGGGGAAAGGAAAGGGAGAAAAGTAATTATATTACAATCTCAATTTTTTTTAAGTAAAAGAAGATAGATCAATCGTAGGTAGATACATAGATAGATGATAGATAGATAGATAGATAGATAGATAGATAGATAAATGCTAAGTACCACAATGAAAGATGATGTAATTTGGGTACATTGATGTGCAATTTGGGTACACAAATAAATGCCCCTTAAAATGTGTACTTAATTTGGTTCAAATATTTGACTTTACAAATAAGGAAACTGCTCATTCCAATGTAGAAATAATTTATAGTTTTAGAAATTAAAAATTGTGTTAAATTTCATTATAGATGGTAAGCATCCCTCAG